TCCTATGTGCTTCTATCAGTATCTCATTAAAGGGTAAAATACTCCATGAGACTGCCTAGCAATTGGAATAAAATAATGAGTCACAATCAACTGATAAAACTCTCATCCTGTTTTCTACCTAAACATTAATCTTGTTCTCCAAAAGCGTAAGAAAGGCACTCGAATTAACACAGCATGTAGTTATTTTTTAAAGCCACTGTGTGATGGTAAGCAGAATTCTCAGGGTTGATTTCTTCCTGCTCATTGCCTTCATGACACTGAATGTGCCTAAACTTCCTGTGTCTGCATGTCCTTCTCCACTAAGCAGGAACACATGACAGAGTGTATCCAGGCAAGGGGAGGTCAGCATGTAAAGTGCTTGCTTGGGTCTGCAAGTTCTACTAAAAAATGTACTCAGAAGACAAAGGTTCAGTTATTACAATGCTGCTTAAATTTGCTAGCATACTTTAAATATTTTTAAGTTCTAAAATATAATTTCCTGGTTAACAACATAACTATAACCTTATAAAAGTTTCTGAAAAAAACAAAATCCTTTTATAATGAAATCTTTAGTATATTCTGTAACTCAGAGAGCCTAAGGCAGAGATTAGCATGTTGTATGTCAAGTGGTAGTTATACACCTAAATTATATTTATGTAGCCCCTGTGTCAGGTATCATCTTGTGTCATGTAAGAGAAAATCACTAGACTGACAATTTATTCTCAACAATATTAAAAGTTGCCTTTATACACATGTGTGCCTCACTAAGCATGGCTGACATGACCTGAATGTATCTAAGTCACAGTTTACCACCATATACACTTTCCTATAAACTGCCACATTAAAAAATCCAAGAACTTGTTTCTACATCTTGTGTCACGTAAGCCTTTACCTGAAGATTTAAGTGGCTTTTAGTGATAATCTGTATACATTTAATTTTATTAATAATGAAGTCTTTAATTTAAATGAGGACCATACCAGAAGAGTAAGAAATCTGACCAAGTCTGGAGCCAGAGTTTCCAAAGAGGTAATAAAATGCTAAAACTAAGAAAATAAAAAGGGGACATTAATATGTATCAAATTCTTCAGTTCAAAAAAATGATTCACATAGGTTTTAAGGAATATCTAAAAGGTCCACAATTCAAGTTAGGGAGGAGAAAAGGAGGAGCAAAGAATGACCATGTACAGATATAGAACAAGTCTTTGAAATCTTAGTTTCTTCAAATGTCCCAAAGTAGTTCTGGCTCTGTTAGCAAGATCTGTACTCCAACATCATAAATGAACAGAAAGTTTTCTTAATGCAAATAGGCTTCATTTCATTAGTTTTTATGAATTTTTAATATATATTAAAGTACAGTTAATAGATAATTATAAATCTGCATTCTTTGGCGGGGATTTAGCAAGCCTAAACAAGGTAGTTAAATGAAGAAAAAAAATCTAAGTTATTCTATATGCAATTAGTTCCCCTAGAGTATCAAGCTAGAATACATCATTCAATCACAATCCACTGCTCTAATCTATCAATTTCTTAATCATAACTCATTCTATCCATCATTCATGATCAATCTTTCCCTTCTTCAAACAGTTAACATTCATTAAATATTTAATGAGTCCTCTCTATAAGCAAGGCACACAGTAGAACCTGGGAATACCATATTACCAGAATAGGTACACTAAAAAAAAAGTGGGGGGGAGATATATACAGATATTATTGCTTTTTTGTTTGTCAGTAGCATTCTTGATCCACAGGATTGTATGACGATCTACTATTCTTCCAGTGAAGGCTTTTTTTTTTTTTGTGTTAATCTCTTTTCTTTTTAACAACATACTTATAGAAAAATACACGAAGACTAACAAGTACCTGAAAAAACACTCATCTTTTCCACTGCATGAGCTTGTTCAGAGAGATTATCATGCTACAGCTAGTGAGTTTAGATGCCAACCATTTAGGAAGAAAACACAACCATATAGGGCAATACTAGATGTTTCTGTAAATGAACACTTGAAAAATGCAAATTTTAGAAATAATGTACCACACAAAAGTCACATACAAAGAGTAACCTTTGGATATTTGCATTTTCACTTCCCCCTTAGAACTTTATTAGAAAGACAGGAGGCCAAGATATATTAAAGGATTATATGGCTTCAGCAAGGGGGTGGGTTAAGGGTAGACCTTAAAACACATAAAAAGTTAACATCCAAGATGGGCAAGATATACTCTGTTGAAGGTATAAAAGGCTGGAGGACTAAAAAATTTAGCAGTTTCACAGGGCATCATGTACACTCATGTCCTGACACTCCCACATCCAAGCACAAGCTTTATTATCTGGAATACTTAAATGATGCTTGAAAAAAGGTAATACTTAGTGGGGCCAGAATTTGGCAACAATCTCCCCTGTCATTTGTGTAGTTTTCCACTCCCCCATCCCAACCACTACAGGTGCTGAAAATCACAAACTAATGGTTTTATTCATAGGGGTCTAGGTAAACCTTGAGGTATTTGATTCAAAATATGCACACAAAGGGCCATGGAATTTGTTCATAACAGCAATTTTTTTCTTACCTAAATACCATAAAAACTGTAAAACAAACTGTTGCTCTCAGAGAAGTGTAGCTTCTATCTACAGGAGCCAGGCTGGACAATTTTTCTGGTGTTCTTAAGCATCACTGGACAATTTGCCACTCAACAAAATCATGATGCACAAGAAAAAGCCCTGATCTTTACTGTTAAAGCAGTGCACCTTAGTCAAGTCCAGGGTTTCCTTAACAGTGAGATGCAGATGTCTGCCTTTCCCTACATCTGTCTCCTCACCCTATAGGTGGCCTAGCAAGTGAAAAGGACAACATGAAAAGTATGGTGGTCATACTTGTTTCTGCCACTGCTACTCACATTCTGCACACGTAGGACAACAACTAGGAACTTTCAGAGGGGCAGCTCATATGCAAATTTCCATTGTGTATGTGTGTGCGTTTAATGGGGTATGAAATTCACTGGAAATAAGGAGGAGAATATTTTCAGTACACATCCCTGAAATAAGACAGTTAAGGAAAAATACACAAAAGTGAAAGCGGCAAGTATGGAACAGATTGGGAAAACAGAGAAAGATACATGGGAAGAAGAGACACAGACCATTTATGAAGGGGGAAATATATAAAAAGGTAAATATTACCTGATGCTTTCCCCACCCCTACTTCGTCAAGCTGAAAAACCCAGCCCTTGTTATTGAAAAGATACAGCTATGAGGTGGATACTTTGGTACCTCATCCCTGATAAGTTTAGTATCAAAGTTTTAAAATTGTTTTGTTTTTTAAAATAAAGATTGGAGAAATAACCTTCAAAACTATTCTTTCCCCCTAGATTTTGCCATTACATTTCTAATAATCACTTCATAAAAATCTTGTAGATTATTGAGTGTATCCTCAAAACTTAAATTTTTAAAATTCAAGCTTTTAATGGATACAATTCTATGCCTATTTCTCCCATTTTTCATGGTGAATTTGGAAGGAATGTAAGTAGCAATAACTAAAAATGGCATTCCAGGTTCTTTTTATAAAAAATGATTTTTGTAAGGGCTGACTTGAATGGTTTTGGCATATACCAAATTTGAGGTAAAAACAATCTATCAAAACTAGTGATAAAAATGTTCCAGTACTGCAATTATATGAACACTTAAAATTAATATTTTTCCCAAATTACCATTTTGAAAATGGGTGACATGTTGGAAGCATGTTTTTCATACAAATTGTAATTCTTCTGACTTTGGTTATGTTGGTCTGTACCTTGAGTAAAAACATGCTAGATAATGAGAAATGATTTGTATTTTCACATATCCATCTGGCCATTTGATTCTCAAAACAACAATTAGGTTGAGTAATTTTGTATTTGTATTATTAAGCTGAGCTACAACATAAATGTTTAATTTAAAAAAAAATCAGCCTATGCAGCAATTGCACTGAGGTGGGTGGAGGTATGTGAACAATTAGGAAAACTGTATGAGAGTAAGTCTCATGTTCAGAAATATAAAGGATGAGAAGTTCAAAAGAAAAAATTAAGACTCACTATCAGGAAGGAACTACACAATTATCTTATCCCCAAAGGAATGCCAGTTCTTAACCAAATAAATAAAATGATTTACTATGGACTTTTCACCTAAAAGTGAAGAACATGTAGTTAGCAAATACCAAACAGTTCATGCAACTATGTAAAAAAGAAAGGAAAGCAATATTGCACTAAAGGGCAAGCTTGCAGGACTGATCCACCTTTCACTGACTCAATGTAACCAGCCATTTCCTGTATGCATTGGCAAACCGGGCTTGCTCTACGTTCCGGCAGGTGGACAATACTTGATCGATGAACTTGTGCTCCATCTCCAGGCCTAGGGAGTCTGCAGCTGGGGTCCGCTTCAGGCGTTTGGTTTCCTGGGAATAATAGCCTTGCTTGCCAGAGTCACTGAGTCCCTCTATCTCCATTGCCTGAGATGTGTGGGGGCCTGCTGGGATGAGGTGCAAGTCACTCAAAGTCCCCCCAGGGCTGTCTGCAGGTGACACCTGGGTCATGCTGTGAGGAAACCGACCATTTAAGTGATGCTGAAGGTAAAAAACATGCCGCCTGTGAAAGAGGGGGAGAAGAGAATACAGAGAAGAAAAACACATCACAAAATCAGACTTTCCAGAGAAACAAAAAATAAGTTGATAATTTAAAATCATACAGTACTTAGTTCATGGCCTCCTTCCCAACACAGAGTTACCTGGAGAAGGGGAAGAACAGTTATGATGAAGTCTCTGGGTGTTTGAACAGATCCTATGAGCCCAGATTACTGGTTTGTTTGTGAGAAACAATGCTACCCCACAGGTTTTTTAATAGAGTGAGATGATGAAAATCACTTGAAAATGTTACTCTTTGTAATTATAATATGAAATAGAAATAGGTCAGCCCTATCTGTGCCATAAATTAAAATATAAAAACAAAAATTAACCTCACTGATATCCTAAAAGACAAGTGATTCAGAAACAAGGGGACTGTGCTCTCTTCGGCAGCATATACACTAAAACTGGAACGATAGAGAAGATTAGCATGGCCCCTACACAAGGATGACATGTAAATTCATGAAGTGTTCCGTATTTTTGAAAATATAATGCACGCCTATATTTACTGCTGCATTATGTACAATAGCCAATGTACAGAATCAACCAGAGTGTCCATCAACAGATGAATGGATAAAGATGTAGGACATACACACAGTGGAATACTATTCAGCCACAAAAAGGGAAGGAATCCTGCCATTTGCAACAACAATAGAGGATATTATGTTACGTGAATAAGCCAGGCAGAGAAAGACAAGTAACATGACTTTACTTATTTGTGGAATATAAAGACAAAATGAAATGAACAAAATAGCATAGACTCATAGACACTCAGAAGGGATTGGTGGTTACCATGGGAGGAGTTGGGATGAGTAGGTAGGGAGGGTGAGGTGGATAAAGAGGCACAAAAATTCTCAATCATAATGTAAGTTGGTCATTGGGATAGTAGCAGGGCATGGAGAATAGAGGCAATGATTCTATAACATCTTTCTATGTCAACAGATAGTAACTGCACTAGTTGGAGTGAGGATTTAATAATGTGGGTAAGTGTTAAACCACTGTGTTGTGTGAAAACAATATAAGACTGTGTATCAACTATAGTTCAATTTAAAAAAAGAAAAGAAACAAGGGGATTAAATAGCTCTTCTTAATGCTTGGTCCATGGCCTCTATCCAATACTATCTTTAATAAGAGTAGATCTGCTTCAGTTTCTCTTATCTAGAAACCAACTGAACTTTTCCCTAAGTTCATCACTATGGTTTTATTAAATACTCACATGTAGTAGGGATGTACTGGGCTCTGAGCAAAGCATGTTTCAAGATACAATTCCTGTTCTTCCTCTAAGGAGTTCTCCTGTCCTTAGAATCATCTGGGATTATTTGTTAAAAATATTTGTGTCCAATCTCCAAAAGTTCTGACTCAGTGGGATGTGCATCTACTGCCCACTATATATGGTAAACTACACAGGTTCTAGGTTGTTATATCTTATTCATATTAGCAACTCTTAGACCTTAAAATACAATTCTATTCATTTTCCCAGCATATTCTAGAGGAGACAGGGAACATGTAACACATTCATTTAATAGAGGATGAAACTTAAAGGACAGATAAGCTGCCTAAGTGCAATCAATAAGCACACTGGCCTGTATAATATACAGGTCATTCCAATTGTCTGCTCCCTACTCCCCACCTCAAACTCCAATTACTCTTTATACAAAGAAATTATATGCTCCATTAATCTAGCTATCTCTCAATACAAATATAATTTTTGAATTCTCAGACTTGGTATTAAAGTGCCTAAAAATAAAATAGCAACAAAAATCTGTAACACCAAAACATGCAAGATAAGACCTATCTTCTCTCTTGAAAATGTGGAATGAGAGCTTATTGTTTTCAAGAGAAAAAGATAAATCTGTATTTGGAAGGTCCAAAAAATGGAGATTGTTTTCCATCTTCTAAATGTACTTAGTGTGGAATAGCAGTTTTGAACAACTTTCAACAGCCTACAAGAATAGGCTGATAAAAGGGGGCAAATCTCAGTAACTTTAAAAATATACAAATATTTAAAATGCCTACGTTCTGCCTAGCACGTAGCAAGTACACCTTACTTTGAAAAAATTAAGTGTCAAGAGATTTAAAGATGAGTTAATTTGCTGCAGACCTTCCTGGTTGGAAGAACAATAAACTTAACTACTTTCAGGGTCTAATCAATGGTTTCAACACTGACTGTGCATCAAATTTACCTGTTAGGGTTTTTTCTGTTTTTTTAAAAAACAGATGGCAGTGTCCCATCCCAGATATGTTAAATATCAGTACCCCTAAGAAGGGAGTCCAGAAACTTTTGTTTTTAGTTTGGAAGTAACACAGGTTACTCTGTTGCTCAGTCAAGGTTCAATACCACCATCCTAAGCATTAGGCAAAGACCTGCATGACGAATCTCATGCTAATGATCATGAGGAGGAGGAGGAAATGGTAACACAAATTCATCTGAACTCACTCAGGCAAAGCTACACAGTCAGATTGCTGGATTTATCCAAGCAGGCAGAAATCAGATGTAAGACCTGTAGCTCTCATAAGGATATGAAATTTCATGCAGAAAATGAATTTTCCCTTTTCTTACCTGTGACACCAGAGGGTTTCATGTCCTGGGTAGGAATCAATAAGATCGGTACTGAATTCAACTTCTTCTTCTAGAAGACGCGGAAGATTTATCCTTGGTTCCTCTGTTGAGGCTGCCGCTGCTTCATCTTTTGGAAGAACAAGGGCTGGCTCACTTCGCAAAGAGTTTTGCTCCAATACAGAACCGTCTATCACAGTTTGGCTAATCAAAGACTTTAACAAAAACTGGCGGTAGTGAAATCCACTGTGGTCTGAAACATGCATGGATGCCCAGTGTTTCATAGATGATAGTTCATCAAGAAGAACCTTGTAGGAAGGAAAAAGGGAAGTCAGAAAAGGTATTACCAAAGGCTTTTCATTCTCCATTAATGCCTTGGATGTCTCTTTGATTTGTGTCCCTTGTTTGTTTTTTTTGACACCATTTCTGCCAATATTTTGTGTAATCCAACACACTGCTGTCACTTAGTAAAAGCTTAGTGATTGCTAATCTCCCCTTTCCCTTATAAAGAGGTTTTTTTTTTTATTAAATTACAGAATTTAAGGACTTATTTATCATTCTTTCCCTGGACTATAATCAACCACATTATGATTGGCATACACATAGAAAAGTCATATTCTAAAATAATGATGAACATTAGGATGTTCATTTACAAATAATGCTGATGTTGAAGGGAAAATAAAAATATAAATTCAGAGGTTACTATGATGTAAACTTCATTTTATATTCAAGGAATATGTATCATGTCTAACTTATCTAACTGTTCAACAATAGACTCAATGGAATTGTTTTCACTCTAGTGCCCTGAGGCCAGAGACAATGTCTCTTTTATTCACTATTTAATTCTAAGTTTTAGTACAAAAACATGATGCACGAATAACAGGAATTTTTAAGAACTAATGACTTTCACTATTAATTCTCTAACTCAACATCAATGATAAATGGATTTTTTAAATAGATGAGACAAAATTCAGCATTAGTTGTTTAAATCTTTGTCTTAACCCTGCAACTAAAGAATTTCAAATGGAATGATAAAATGAAAAGAAGTATCAGTATTTATGAAGAAATTAATTATTTTGCAGTGTCTTGGACAGGTAGCTAACACAAATTAATCAGTGAAAGGTGTATCGAAGGCCATGTTCCATCAGAGGATTTTTCAGACCAGCCAAGGAAAAAAGACATATACTTGTCAATAGTGAACAATTTTGACAGCACAATGCCAGAGGCTCCTTTATCTGCTTTTCAAGGCTCCCAACCAAATGCCTTCTTCTATAACATGACCTGCTCTCCACTTCTCAGTCCCTTTCCTTCCCTAGAAGAAATTGTCCCTCTTCTGAACTTCATGGTTCTCATGTGTTCTATCATGTATACTACAAAATTTTCTCTGTATCTTTTTATTCCCATTAAGCTCTACATCTTCTTTAAGGTACTTACTCATTCCTAGTTCCCCTCACCCTGTACCCACTGGCATCACGGTGGACAGGTTAAGTATTTTATGAATGAATGAATGAACAATTTAATGAATGAAGAGAATAGTACAGGCATACCTTGTTTTATTGCACTTCACCTTATTGTGTATTGTGCTTCACAGATACTGGGTTTTTACAAATTGAAGGTCTGTGGCAACCCTGTGTCAAGCAAGCCTATTGGTGCCATTTTTCCAACAGCATTTGCTCACTGTGTTTCTGTGTCACAGGCGGCAATTCTCACAGTATTTCAAACTTCTCATTATTATTATTATATTTGAAATTTAATCTGTAATCAGTGATTATGACTCACTGAAACCTCAGATGATGGTTAGCATTTTTTAGCAATAAAGTATTTTTAAATTAATGTATGTACATTCTTTTTAGACATAATGCTATTGCACACTTAACAGACAAAAATGTAGTGTAATAGTAACTTTTATATGCACTGGGAAGGCAAAAAATCCGTTTGATTCATGTTTCACTGCGATATTCGCTTTACTGCGGTGGTCTGAAATCAAACCACAGTATCTCCGAAGTCTGCCTGAACTGCTAGAGAGATTACTCCCAGATACAATGGTCAAGATATGTCAGTGAAATGTTTTAAACGCCTCTTTAAATTCTGAGTTTATTCATAGCCACATAAATTTATCCTAGAAGCTGTAGCTGGTGAGTCTGAGAAATGGAAAACAAGATTGTTTTTCTGAAAATAGCACCTGATAAGCTTTTACCAGAAAACAAAAGAAAACCTAATTTTAAGATTATTATATTTTTGAAGAATTAACCTGCAGGACACTTAGGTATAATACAGCAGTTTTTAAATTTATGTTCAGCTTATTAATATAGATTGAAGAGAGTATGAAAAATGTTTAAATGGAATTTTAATATCATGAAAAAATACTAGATTATTTCTTACTGCATTTTTCTACATATAAAAATTGGAATTCATTGTAATAGAGGCAAAAAATAGCACATATATGAAGTTTTCAACAAAATTTTTCTCAAACTTTTATTTATCTATCTATTTATTTATTTTTATTAAGGTATTGATACACACTCTTACGAAGGTTTCACATGAAAAACAATGTGGTTACTACATTCACCCATGTTATCATGCGCCCCCATCCCCCATTGCAGTCACTGCCCAACAGTATAGTAAGGTGCCACAGAATCACTATTTGCCTTCTCTGTGCTACACTGTCTTCCCCATGATCTCCCCCACACCATGTATGCCAATCATAATACCCCTCAATCCCCTTCTCCCTCCCTTCCCACCAGTCCTCCCCCACCCCTCCCCTTTGGAAACCACTAGTCTCTTCTTGGAGTCTGGGAGTCCGCTGCTGTTTTGTTCCTTCAGTTTTGCTTCATTCTTATACTCCACAAATGAAAGATATCATTTGGTACTTGTCTTTCTCTGCCTGGCTTATTTCACTGAGCATAATATCCTCCAGCTCCATTC